CAATAGAAATGTGAGATGATATTAAATGTAGAATTGCCACCTATTTTCGCTTCTAAGATTAACATACATATATATTTTGTGAGTGTCTTTATGTAGTAATGTGTTACTTTCTAGTACATTTTCGAATTTCATTTGACATATTAAGCATTAAAAAATTCAATTTCCTTTTTTTGTTGGGCTTAATCCAGTTATTAAAGAAATTTGAATTTATGTTTTAGAATGTCCCAAACTGATGATTATTATTAGAATGCTTTATGAGAAGGCTAATCCTACTTTTTCAAAAAATTATTAATTATTTATCCATTTTCCATGATACAGTTTCATAAGCAGAAGAGTTCATCCTTTCTCTTGCTCTTCCTCCCTCCCCAATATCCCCTTCCACTGTTTGTCCCCATGGTGTTGCGAAAGCATAATCACTTATGGTTAGAAGCTTAACTTTCTCATATTGAAATGTGTCATGACATGGTAAGTATAGGAAAACATAGAAAATACAGTGTTGTAAAGGTGTATTTATAAGTTACCAATGGGAGTCCCATTATTATTTGGTAGTAGAAATGTGTACTGTGTATAACCACTACCTCAATACTTCCCCATAAGATAATCTCCCTTGTATAGTTAGTATATATACATGTGTGTGTGTGCTTTGTACTCAGAGAACATATGATATTTGCCCTTTTGGGCCTGGCTTATTTCACTAAACATAATGGATTCTAGCTGAAACCATTCTGTTGCAAATATGGGAAGATTTCCTTTTTTATGGCTCAGTAGTATTCCATGGTGTAAATGCACCATAGTTTCTTTATGTATTCAGTTGTTGATGGGCATTTGGGTTATTTCCTGAGCTTTTTTTCTTTTCCATGTGTTTATCAGCCCTTTAAAATTAATCTTTTAGGAAATATCTGTTAATTTCTTTTGTCTATTTCTTTTTTTAAAAAAATATTTTCTTTTTATTGGAAAGTCAGATATACGAGAGGAGGAGAGACAAAGACAAAAATCTTCTGTGTGTTGATTCACTCCCCAACTGACCGAAAGAGCCAGAGCTGAGCCGATCTGAAGCCAAAAGCCCAGAGCCTCTTTTGGGTTGCCCACCTGGGTGCCGGGTCCCCAGGCTTTGGACCATCCTCTAGTGTTTTCCCAGGCCACAAGCAGGGAGCTGGATGGGAGCAGGGCAGTTGGGATTAGAACTGGTGCTTATATGAGATCCTGGCATGTGTAAAGCATGGGCTTTACCCACAAGGCTAGTGTGCCGGGCTCTCCTTTGCCTAATTCTTAACTGGATTTTTTATTTTGCTGTTGAGTTTCTGCAGTTCTTTGTAGATCCTGGATGTTAGTCTGTTGTGTAGTGTTTAAGCAATTTCTTTCAGTCTATTGGTTGTGTCCTTACTTTATTGACCAGAAGCTTCTTAGCTTATAAAGTTTCATTTGTGTGTTTTTGTTGTAACTGCTTGTGCTTTTGATGTCTTTTCTGGTTGACTGTATTTTTTATTTTAAGTAAAAAATAACATTTAAGCTAAGGGTAATGGGACTATTTTATATTTTTGGTTTCTCCTACCCTTGGTGAGTAAGCACTTTAAACATGAATGGGAAACAACAGAAAAAAAAGGTTTATTTTATTTTTGTTGAATACATTATATCACTTTTAAAAAGTCAGCATTTTTGTAGACTCCATTAATACTGGATCATGAGCACTAATGTGTCAGATCTGCTGATAAATACTTAGCTGACGTTTGCTTTTTTCTTTTAGCAAATGATGCTTTTTAGGTGGACATATTAATTAGCAGTTACATGGTAATAGCCTAGTGTAATGTTTGTAGGAGAGCAGATGGATCTCTGTCTTTTGGGGCTGCTGATTGGTGGTTGCATTGGAGAGCAGCTGTAAGTATACAAATCCAGGTGCGATAAACTTGTCAAGCCATTTATGTGGCCACCATAGACAACTTACCTGCAGAGTTGCAGAGGAAATGAATTTGAGCTCTAGGTTTGATTGAGTCCATTTTGCTTTTAAGTAAGTTATTGAAGGTTATAGACAGTTTTAAAGTATCAGTTTATGGCGCTGGTTGAAAATCGCCCTGGCTTTGGCCATAGCCATGGGTGAGATTCAGCGCCTAGAGCCACCAGGAGCCTCAGCTCATCTCCCACTGCCTGTGTGGAAAGGTGAGACCCAGGCCCCGACAGCGGAAATGACAAGCAGGTGTAAAAAGAAAACCAAAGAGTCTTCCGGTCCCCGGGACAAGTAGCGTCCCATGCCTGGATCTCATGCGACCGGTACCATGCACGAGTCCGGAGCCGGTATTGGGCGGCCAGTGCGCCATTTGGCGGTAGGCTCCGCCTGCTGGCCACCTGGCCAGGGAGCTCTGGGATTTGCCTTCTATGATTGCTGCTTAGAAAGCTCCATGATGAACCCTCAGGGCTTTGGGTACATGAATCAACCCTAAAGATTCCCAATGACGTAAATCTCCCCCGATGGACCTCTACCTAATATGGTCTCAACCCATGTGTTTTTAAAATTGTATAACCAAATATATTTTCAAAACCTTTTACTACTCAGAAATTGAGCAGGAGAGCAAAGAAACCTTCCATCTCCTGTGAACGTGTGAGGAAGCCGTGTAGTGTAACCTCTCAGGCACATAACAGGTAACTTGTAGACAATAGATTCAAGACAACATTAGACAATAGTAAAACTACAAGGACATATAGGGGGAATCAAGAGCGACCCTGACAACCTATTAACAAGAGGTCATGTGCACAGAGCAGTGGGGGACCACAGAGTGGAGCAGGTGGACAGGAGGAGGCTTGTATCCCAAACCTGGAGTCTCCTGGATCCCCACCAAGGGCTATCGGTACGGGCGGGAAGGACCACATCCCAACTGCTAAAGAGACCACGGGGGACTGGAATGCCTTTGGAGGCCGAGAACTCAGAGGACATCCCCTCCCCCTTTGGACCTACCCCACGGGATGGAAGAAGCTGAATCTTTCATCATAGGATCCAAGGCCATCGGAACAACAACCAGGAAGCCTGAGTGGTTTTCAGAAACAGAAGAACAGTAAACTCCGTTCAGGACTAGGGAGAGGAGCTATCTCTGGTTCTTACTTAGTTCCAACTTCGGGTCCCCACCCTCTCTGCAATGACCATGAGGGACGCTCCAGAGTTCCCCCCCCCCCCCCAACACACACACACACACACTCACAAATTGGAATGGATAGGCAGAGAACAACAAGGAAGGCTTGGTCAGCGTGGACTCACACACACCTTACTAGGTAGGACACAGGGATTAAGTACTCCTCACCAAGGTATGGAAGATTTCTCTGCACACCCTTCTAAAACTGTTTTGCACCTCAATTGTTGAAATGTCATTGAAATAGTCACAGGAAGTTGTTAAGACCATGCATCCAATTTTGACAAATTGGTTGCTCAATACTTTGTCAATTTATCCTTTAATGTTATATATTGTTGCTGATGTTATTTCGGGGCTTTTAATTGACCGGGATTCTACTCTGTTGGCTCTGCCTTGGGACCGGGGAGGGTCTCCCCAAGAAGTCACTGAACTTGACCGGACAATGAGATGCTAGACTCTATGCTTGGTGTATGCTTGCAATGAAGGAATCTCAACTAAACCTGAACTGTGGTTGCACAATGGGGGGTGGGGGCGGGGGGGGGGGAGGAACCCACCATGGAGGGAGAGTTGGGAGAGGGGTGGGGGGAATCCCAGTGCCTATATAGAACTGTGTCACATAATGCAATGTAATTTAAAAAAATATATAATAATGATAAAAAAATAAATAAAACCCATGAAAACTTTTTCTGGTGAAGAGCCTGTGCAGGGCCTGGCACAGTAGCCTAGCAGCTGAAGTCCTCACCTTGTACATGCCAGGATCCCATGTGGGTGCCGGCTCGTGTCCCGGTGGCTCCACTTCCCATCCAGTTCCCTGCTTATGGCCTGGGAAAGCAGTCAAGGATGGCCCAAAGTCTTGGGAACCTGCACCCACAGGGGATACCTGGAATAGACTCCTGGCTTCTGGCTTCAGATCGGCACAGCTCCAGCCATTATGGCCACTTGGGGTGTGAATCAACAAATGGAAGGTCTTCCTCTCTTTCTTCCTCTCTGTATATCTGCCTTCCCAATAAAAATAAAATAAATTTTTTTCAACCTTAAAAAAAAATAAAGTATCAGTTTAAGCCCGATATAAATAAAAGTAGGCTGAACCCAGTGGATGTGTTATAGTAGAGAATTAACAATTTTTGTATGAAAAGGAATTTTGGAAGGTATATGGCTTTTAAAAAGTTTTATAAAGCTGGAAATTGTAGATTTTTAATAGTTTGCTTGTCTCATTTTTACTGTCCTCTTCAATATGAAGCTTTTATTTTTATTTACTCTGAGGGTTAGGAGAAGGAAAGGAATGCTAAGGGCAAAGAGGCTTTAATGAGCATTGATCAGATAAGGGAGTTTATGAAGTGTTCTTAGTGTTGAAAGAAGCAAAATAGAGGTTGCAGATGTTTTCTTGTTATTAAGCTCTGTATATTGATTATCTTACATTGCATTATTATTCATATGCTAGAAGTATTTAAAGCAAACAATGATTTATACTTATAATACCTGAAGTGATGTAAGTATATATAACTGTGAACTTAAATTGCAAACATAATTTAGCAGATTGAAAAAACCATATTAATGCTAGTCTCTTGATAAAAATGGACTGGTGTTTGTAAAACATTTAAATTAGTCTTGAAGGATTTGTGGCTATGAAGCATTGGGTATTCAGTATAGAATTAGGTGACTATTAGCATTGCCATTTTTAGTAATTAGTTAAATAATGTAAAATGGTTATACAGGGTAATGATTTGTTAATGTATTATTTAACTTAGCAAAAATTAAAACTCCTATAGTTGTGAGAGATGGCAAGTTAGTGTAGCAACCATACTCATTTTTGTTGTTGTTTTTAAAAAGTGAATAGCAAGCAGGATTAAAAAAATTGCTGCTGTTAAACAGAACAATAAAGATGTAGTAGTAAGATTTAAAAAAATGAGTCAATTTTCTAAGCAAAAAAAGGCTAGAATTCTTCATTATTAGATACACAGTATCAACATAATCGATCTAGCAGCATTATATTTGAGCTGAAAATACACTTAAATTTGAGGCCGTACAGTACCTCGTGTGAGTGAAACATCTTTCATATAGTTCTAAGATGAAATTACCCTTGAATGAATAGCATCTTCATTTATCTTCAAACCTCTTCTGTGCTTTTAGTGGATCTACTCTTTCAACATTCTACAACAAGAATTGCATTACACCATTATACCAGAGTACTTCTGCAGTGTGAAATAGATTGGTTTGGAAAATGAACTTGGCTTTGCTATAAATTACATTCACAGGTACAAAGGAATTTGTTATTTTGTTTAAAAAGTCACAAATATAATTAAGGTCTTAATTTATGTTAAACTACAAATATGGCTATTACAGTAACTGGATTAGGAACTTAATCTGTCACTTTAAGAATGATACCTAACACTTTTTATTTGTAACCTTAGATACATTATTTCAATTACACGATCTGCAGCTGTTTGATATAAAAATGAATTATTTCATGGATAGATTTGTTCATGGTTTTTAATTTTAAAACATGCCTCTTCAGGAACGTGGAAAATAATTCTTCAGTTGTTGTCACAGATTTCCCTTTGTGCCCTTGTGAAACAGGATATGAATTAATATTCAGAACCATTTCCATTTTGTGCCCTGAAAATAGCATTGCCTGCTTGAGAATAGTTCTGAGTGAATTCTTACATAGAATTGTTCAAATTTAATTATAAAATGAATAGAAGCTTTGTCCTGAAGAAGAAAATCCAAGATCTGCTTTTTAAGGAGAGCTTTACCTGGTTGGACTGCAGGGGATTGTCCCTCATTGACTGAAGGACTATTAATATGACTTATATAATTTAGAAGCCATGTTTGTAATCTGTTAAATTCCATAGTGTTAGTCACTGTAATCTTTTAAAAGTTATTTAATAATTGTTCAAAATATTGAATTATTTTGCTTCTATTGGCAAACAGTGCTGCTTTTATTCTTGTTAAAGAGTTTTCATATTATTGTAAGTAATTTGTAAGAGAAATGTTCATTTTATTCTTTGGAATAAAGAAGATAGTTGGTACTGCTCATTAACAAATGATTTAGTATTATCACTGTTCATTAAAATGAAATTATATGAGTATATCGCCATCTGTAATTTCACTTATCCTGAGGACTTTAATTTTTTTCTTATTTATCTCTTTTTATATATGTTTAATTATATATTCTGTAAGCAACAGATGTTGCCATTTTTAATAGGAAGAACTCAGAAAAAGCAGCTTCCTTTCAGGTCTAAATGGTTAGTAAACTCCACTATCATTTTAGTTTCTTAGGTTACAAAGATTATTTTTTTGTGTGCCTTTTGACTATTTTATAACTGTTTTCCATAAAAGTTTGACCCCACAAGTTTCACTTGTAGTAAATCTTTTTATATGTAATTTGTAATTTGTAAATAAGTTAATCCTATTCTGGTTATCTTCTATTGCTTTCAGAATGTGGGCCCTAACATCTAAGCTTTTAAAGCATTGAGGTTTGGTTCTATGCCATTGTAAAATGTTAATCTTTATGGTAGCCTACTAATTTTCTATGGCTTAAGGTATATTTGTATTTGTTGTTAGGAATGTCTATGACTTATTTTGATAACTTATTGTGTGTAGAGGACGGAGTATTGAGCAAGATACATGTGGTCTGGGAGCCCTACTGGAGCTCTTATTCATAGATCTTTTAGCAGTTCATCCATCAGTTTCACCAGCATGCAGGACTTCAAAAAATTACTCAAAGTAATCTTGACGTCATTTGGTTTCTACTTTGTTAGAAAAGATCCTATATAATTATAAACATTGAAAATGTATGAGTCATACATTGGCTTGTGTTAATTACTTTCAAAAGAACCTTTTTTGGGGAAAATTATATTACTTTATCTTTTCACTATTGCTTTTTATGTTAGTGCATAATTTTGCTATTTTGTTTTTAGAGAAATAGAGAAAATTAAATTCTGGTATGTAGTAAGTTATCTTTTTCTCATAAGAAGACATTGAATAGTAATAGCTTTTTAAAAAAGTCACTAAGTTCAAGTAGACTTTCTTCCCATGCATATGAACAAGTATTTATTACTGCTAGTACTGTTACTGTAAAGGGCTTCAAAAATTACATGGAAATGCATGTTACCTATAAATTTCAGTTTTCTACAGCCCTTTTGAATCCCTTTGTACTAAATATTAATAATATTTTATATTGATTGAACTCTGTAGAGTGTTTTACATATAGCACTTCAATTGAAATGCCAAATAAATTGTCTTATTTGAGAAATGAGAAAGCTTATGAGATAAAGAAAATTTATCAGGTTAGAAATTCATTAGGATTCTAGCCCGAGCTCTGTCCCAGGGAGGCTTCTGTTCTGTTAACGCCTCATACTCTATGCTGACTCTGAAGATTGATATGACAAATTCCTGTTTCTCAGATGTATATGTATAGTCTTCCAGGATTCATTAGATACTGGTAGATTACCTAATTCATGTTTACTGAAGGGGTAGAAATGTGCTGATGTTGTTCAGGCTGAGTGACGTGGCTTAGGATTCAGCCACAGGTAATTGAGTTACTCTCAGTGATGACAGGGACAGCGATCTCATTTCTAGGAGACAGCATCAGGCTGATTGTGTTGCTAGTCATCCAGAAGAGTCAGTTTTGTTGTTTTCTCAACTGAGTTCTGAAGCTTTACAAACTTTAATACAATCACAGCATAGTGTTGCTATCTCAAAGTTTCTAAGCATGATTTAAAAAATATTTATTTATTTGAGAGGCAGAGAAGTAGATTGAGATCTTACTCATTGGTTTACTGTTAAAAGGCTGTCAGTGACTGGTCCTGGGCCAAGGCCAAAGCTGAGACCTGGGACTCAATCTAGTTTTCTCTTGTGGATGGCAGGAGTCCAGTCACGTGAATCAGCACTGGCTGCCTCACACGGTCTGCCTTAGCATGAAGCTGAAGTCAGGATCCGGGTACTTATACTTGTACCCTGATGTGGCATGTGGGCATCTTAACTGCTAGACCAAATACCTGCCACTGTAGCTTCTTACTAAGCCAAGAAGTTAAATTGACTTTTTAGTTTTTGACATTGGTAGATCATGGATGTAGGAAATAGTAAAGAACAAACCAGAAATTGTCTTTCATTGTATTTGTATTCTGCACAGTATCTGTAGCTGTACTCATTTCTTAACACCTTGATGGTGCTATCTGTGTGAAAGTGATGACAGAAATGATGGCAGAAATGATACTTCAGTCAGTTGTGTCTGCAAGGGAGAGGATGGTCTTTGAGATTGACAGTCTTAATTTTGGGGGGATTATTATTTTTTAATATGAAGGAAACAGATTTCATATATTTCATAGGTACAGTTCTAAGAAGATAACCATACTTCTCACCCATTATCTCTTCCCTCTTCCAGCTCAGTCCTAGCCTTAGCTCCCTTTTTTAAAATTCATTTTTGCAAAGATGTAATTATAATCTTCCCCATAATCACAGGCCTAGTTCACCACTGACCATAATATTCAACAGGCCTAGTTCACCACTGACCATAATATTCAGCAGGTAAAAAGTAGGAATACCATATTTCCATAGGAAAATAAACAAGGGCTAAAAAAGACATTTATATCATAAGATGTCTGTTTCACTTATATATATATATGTATATATATATATATACTTGTATTCTATATTAACTGCCACTTAACAGAGAAAACTTGTGATATTTATGATTTTGAGAGTGGCTTATTTTTCCTAAGCTTAATGGTATCCAGTTGCATCCATTTGTTGCAAAAGAGAGAACTTCATCCTTTTTTATGGCTGAATAGTTTTCCGTGGTGGGTATCTGGCTTGATCTATCTCAGCTATTGTGAATTGAGCTGTAATAAATATAGAGGTACAGGCAACTGTTCCATTTGCTGATTCCATTTGCTTCCAGTAAATGTCCAGGAGTAAGATGGCTGGGTCACACAGTTCTATTTTCAGGTTTCTGAGGAATCTCTGTATTCTCTCCCATAGTGAGTGTACTACTTGACATTTCACAGCAGTGTGCTAAGGTGCCTTTTCACTTACATACTTACCAGCAATTTATTAAAAAAATTTTTTTGAATGGTAGTAATTCTATATGGGGTGGATTAAAACTTCATTCTTCATTGTGGTTTTATTTTATTATTATTGGAACGTCAGATATACAGAAAGAAAGAGACACAGAGATGAAGATTTTTTCGTCCATTGATTCACTCCCCAAGTGGCCGAAATGGCTGGAGCTAAGCCAATTTGAAGCCAAGAGCCCGGAGCCTCCTCCTACAAGGGCTCATGGTCCCAAGGCTTTGGGCTATCCTCAGCTGCTTTCCCAGGTCACAAGCAGGGAGCTGGGTGGGAAGTGGGGTACTGGGATACGAACTGGCTTCCGTATGGGATCCTGGCATGTGCAAGGCAAGGACCATAGCTGCTAGGCCACAACATCGGGCCCTCATTTTGATTTTAATTTGCATTTCCTTGATGGCTAGTGATCTTGAACATTTTTCATGTGTCAGTTGGCCATTTGCATTTTATCTTTGAAAAATGCCTATTCATATCCTTATCTTATTTCTTAACTGGATTGTTTTGTTGTTGCCAAGTTTCTGGAGCTTCTTATATATTCTGGATATTAATCCTTTATTAGATGCATATTTTGCAAGTATTTTCTTCTATTCTCAGTTGCCTCTTCGCTTTGTTGAGTGTTTCTTTTCTGGTGCAGAAGCTTCTTAACTTGATGTAATCTCATTTGTTTACTTTTGTTTTTATTGCTTGTTTTTCTAGGGTCTTTTCTAAGAAATTTTTGCCTGTGCAGAGTTTTCTTAATGTTTTCCTTTAGTAATTGAATGATATTAAGTTGTAGATTTTGGTCCTTGATGCATTTTGAAGTAGGTGTGTGTGTGTGTGTGTGTGTGTGTGTGTGTAAGGTGTGGGGTAAGAACCTTGTTTCACACTTCTGCATGTGTAGATCCAGTTTTCTCTGCACTGTTTCTTGCAGACTGTCCTTTCTCTAGGGATTAATTTTTGTTTATTTGTCAAAGATAACTTGATTTTAGATAGGTAGATTAATTTTGGGGGTTTCTATTCTGTTCCATTGCTCTCCATGTCTGTTCTTGCGCCAGGCTGTTTTAATCATAACTGCCCTGTAGGATGTCTTAGAATCTGGTGTCTTGATGCCTCTGCCTTTCTTTTTGTTGTTTAAGATTGCTTTAGCTATTTGGGATCTCTTGTTTCCATATGGATGTTAGCATTGTTTTTTCAACTTTGTTTTTTT